ATATTATTAGACAACTTGTTTTATTTTTAAATTTGGACTATACTTGTTATTTTTCAAGATGGAACCTTCATTTGTTATTTTTTCAAATTTTAGGGGAATGAATTAGTTGTTGGAATTATGAAAACATCGAAAATATATATTATGGTAGGTATCGAACTAAATCAAATTGAACAGTTGGGTTCCAGTTCGATTCATTTACAAGATACTCAATACTTCTATGTTCGATTTGGAATCGGAATGTGCCCACTCTTAATCCAAATTGATTGTGTATTTAGTAAATTATTCGTACAATTAATTTTGTTAATTTTTACTTGGCATTTTACCCCACAAAATTTTGAAAGTCTTCCTAGTTCACCCTATGTCGAAGATTTTTCTTTTTGAGGGTCCTAAATTGAAGAATTTTAATGAGTAAATTGACTCGTGATCTTAATGAACGAGGACTTGCATCCTTTCCTTTTTAATTCATAAATACAACCACCGGGAAACAAATTCAACTAAAATCGACATTTCAACTTCAATTCAATCCTTCAATACTTCAATCCTTCATGCAGTCTCAACTGTCATTTCTCGTCAAACTCTAATTATCCATTTCCCCAAAAATGTAATAATATTGCAGTAAACAAATATGACAAAAAGGTATTGAAAAACAAAAAATAAAAAAAATGAAGAGAGAAATCCCTCGTAATAGTATACCTCTATATCATAAAAATAACCAGGTTTTGTCCACATAAAAAATGATTTCTTTCTTTGGACAAGCTAACACATTTTTACCAAAAATAGAAGTTTAAGTTATTTATTTTTTAAACATGAATTTCAAAGTTACTTTTAACCTTACAATACTAAATAAAAAGTAAATCTTATTGTACTTCATGCTTTAATAAATGAGTAATATCTAAGTATGGTGCTTACGAGATCATTACTCTACACACACACACACACACACACACATATATATATACACACATACATACTAGGTGCAAGCAACGTGCAATGCACGTTTGCCTAGTTTATATTTAATAGTTTTGTTTAAGAATTAATTTGTTATTAATAAATATGTAATTTTTTTGGTTAATTAAATAATTAATGATGTAATG